CTAGGACGCTGGGCTGAGGCCGCGCTGGGTCACCCCGCGGCCGTCCTGGGGTCCCTGCGGAACATTGAGGGGGAGAAGAGGCCATGTGACCACAGAGGCAGAGGTTGGAGTGATGCCGTCACAAGCCCAGGGACTCTGGGAGCCCCCGGGAGCTGGAAGATCCTCCCCTGGAGCCTCCGGAGGGACCGCAGTCCTGCTGACACCTTGCATTTGGGGTCGGGCCTCCAGAACCATGAGAATAAAGTCTTGTTCTTCCGAGCGGCCAGTGTGGGGGGACAGCAGCCACAGGAAGCTAATACGTGGGATGAGGCTAGCCCCAAGGACGCTCAGTGATGCTCAGTGAGGCATGAAGTCCAGTCCTGGAGTTGCCCACACCCCCGGCACCATGAGGGGGATGGCTGTGTGACCCCAAAAAGCTCCTGCCCGCCAACACCCCGGCCACTGAGGCAGGAAGGGAAGTGCTGGGGCCTTTGGTTCCACAGGAGGCTGGACAACAGCCCTCCGTTCACACGGAGCCTGTGAACTTCCCACTGGCCCGAGAGGCTGGGAGGGGCCCCGGGTACCCTCCTGCCCCCCACCCTGGGCCGCGCCGCAGCAGAGCACCACCAACAGCCCGCCCACCCCCCGGCTCTGCCCAGGAGGGGCCCCAGGCTCCAGAGGCCCATAGGTGGTGCTGTCGGGGCTCCCAGGACACCGGGCCCCTCGGGGCGTGCTCCCCATGACCGTCAGTAACGGCTCTGTCCCCGCACACCCTGCCTTGTGGGCCCCTCCCATCCGTGAGCGCCCACTGCCCCCTCGAGTCCGTGGCCCACCTGCCTCTCTCCTCTGCAGCTTCCTCCACCCTGGCGGCCGTTCTGTGGGGCCTAGATCCTTCCCCAGCTCCATGACCCCAGCCCCAACGCTCCTGAGTACTGGGCCCGAGTCATCTCCCAGCCAAGACTCAGGCACTCAGGCCCCAGCCAGCAGGGGCCACCTGGTCCCCAGTGGTCCCCAGCTCTCAGGCTCCTGCTCCTCACTTTGCCCTTTGCCCTCCATCGGCTCCCCATCCTGGCCTCAGCTTCTGTCCTCCTGCCATTCCTCACCCCCTGACCCCACCTGAGGTCTTTTCAGCCCAAACGCGGCCATTCACCCCTCTGCCTAACGGCCCCCATGGTGTCCTTTGCTCTCAGGACAAGGCCACATCCCCACGCCCATCTGCCTCCTCCCCCACCCTGGAACGTGCAGGCTTCCTCCTGCCACAGGCCTCGGGCTCGCGCCCTCCTTCTGCCTAGGACACTCACCCCCCAGCCTATTAGCTCACGATTAGCTCACCGTTCGCGCTCAGCCATATGTCACCTCTTCCAGGAAGCCTTCCTGGATCCCCAGTCCAGGTCAGCTTCCTCGCCAGATGCTCGCTGGGGGGGGCCCTCGTCCCTTCTCAGCACGTTCCTACGTTCCTGTGTGTGATTATGCACAAATTTGGGGGCTGTGATTCACAGGGTGAGGCCGCAGTGACACTGTGTCCCCTCCGTCCCCCATCTAGTGGAGCTCTCGGCCCACTGGGGGTGGGCAGCCACCCTCAGGAGGAGTCGCCAGCACCTTTCAGGGTGGGGGACTGGCCCCACGCTCTCGACTGTCCCTGCCCCGCCTGCAAGATGAGGCCCTCTGACCAGCCGAGCCCTTCAAGGTCCAAGTCGGAGGAGGATGCCCGCCCATCCAGCCAGGAGCATGAGCCCGTCCCCACCCCAGGAATGCAGCCTGTGGCCCTCCCACCTGCCCTCCCTGGGGGGCCCTGACAGCCTGTGTGTGTGGGGGGGCACAGGAGAAGCCCCTGTGAAAAGAGCCCCCACGGAGCCAGAGAGGGCATAGTGGCCACCTCCAAAGGCGGCTGCCGACAGGTCACTACCAGGCGTCCCAGGGACCCCTCACTCACCACCCAACCCTAGAGGCAGGTCCGTCACTCGGAGACAGACAGGGAAAACGAAGTCCGAGGTGCCGGGCTGCTGGGGCCAGAGCAGCAAGCGACCAGCCAGGCTGGTGCCGGGCGGTCCTGTGTCTGTCCCTGGAGGTCAGGGCCTTCCTCAGGAGGAGGCCCACGTCCCCCCAGGCTGGACCGGTGCTCTGGGGGCAGTCCCTCCCAAGGGCCACTGTGCCGTCTCACCGGAGCCCAGCCAGGCCCCCGGCCGGCCTCTCACCGCTGCCCTGGCCACCATGACCCAGGCCGGCTTGGCACTTCTCCAGAACGCCCCTGTGGGCACCCCAGTCAGCTGAGCCTCCAGCCACCCTGCAAGGTGGGCAGAGGAATCTCTTGGGACAACATGCTGGGCACGAAGTCCCTGGGAGGGCCCTGACACCGTGGGGTCGGCTGGGATTCCCCCTGACTGGCGCCGGGGGGCACTGCAGACACCCCCCATGTCCTTGGGGCCCGCTAGCAGCGCCCGTTGGGCTGGACGCGGCCTAAAGTACAAGCTTCCCCAACTGGTCTCCCTGCCCGAGCTCCAGGCCCACGCAGCCCTCCTCCCAGGGGGGTCCAGGTACTGGCGGCCAGACAACCCCCATCGCATCGCACACACGCTGTGCGGGGCAGCCCCCTGCACCAGACCCTGCAGCCCTGGGCTTGCCCAGAGAAGCCCACCGTCCCCACAGAAGGCAGTTCCCAGTTTCCCCTTCAAGGAGCAGGCCGAGGGCCTGGCCCCCAAACAGCATCACGGACACGTGAAAGCAAACTTGTCCACCAGGAGAGCCCCGCTCACCAGTGCCAGCCTATTAAACACCAGCTGGTGTGGCCCTCAGAGCACAGTCTTCCAACCTCAAAACACAAAATTCAAAAGCCAATCAGGCAAAACCGCTTTGTGCTTTGGTGCTAAAAAGATCCAGCATCCTACGCTCCCAGAGCTCCACGCACTGCTGGGGAAGCATGGGTGCTGCCCAGAGGCCAGAGAAAGAGACCGAGACACACACAGAGACAGAAAGGGAGAGGGAGAGAGAGAGAGAGCCAGAGGAGGGAGGGAGGGAGGGAGGGAGGAGAGGCCAGTCTGTGGGCACAGCCCCTGCAGCAGCGAAACCTGTCTGGCCAGATTCTTCCCTGTGCTTCCCGGTAAACACAGCCAGCCCTGAACAAGCTGGCCAACATTCTCCAGGGGTGGGGGGCTCCCTGTCCCCCAGGCCACACTGGGCACCGGGTGGGCTCACAGTCCCTAGTAAGCGCCCACTGTGACCAGGGATCTGAAGGTCACTCTTGAGGACCGACTGCTCACCACGTCCTCACTGACACGGGCCCACAGCTCACGGGAAAGGGGCAAGTGGGAGAGGTGCCTAGGCTCCACACTGACCCACAACCAGGCCAAAGGCAGGAGGGGCCTGGTGGGCAGCGAGCCTGGGTTGGGGACGGCAGAGGGCACACAGATGTGGGCAGGACCCCACAGAGGGTGCCCAGGCCCCCAGGACGTGCCCGGAGCAGGGAGACGCGTCTGACCATTCCCCAGACCTCTCCCCTCAGGTGAGCCAGCCGCCCACCCCACAGGGTGCCCCCAACTTGAGACACTCGCTGGCTCGATGCCAACAGGTTGGTGCCATGCCCGCGCCCCAACATGAAGACCCAGAGCTCACAGGGGCTGTGCCTGGTTCCGGAGAGGACAGGTTTGTGTCTGGACCCCTGGGAGTCATTCAGGGCATTTGACTGGGACGGACATAGGAAGCAGTGGGGGGAAGGGGGGGGACAAGGCTTCCAGAGTCCCACCTGTGACCCTGCCCAGGTGCCCCCCTCATCATCATTGCTTTCTCAATCCTGGGTCCCCCAATCCATGTGGCACAGCAGTGAGGGGGTCACGCCAGGTGCCCCACAAACCCCTTCCCAACCACATATCCGCCAGCCCTGCTAAGGCCTGAGGGCTCGAGCTGGGGACTGTGGTGCCAGACAGGGGGATGGGCAGGTGGACCAGACCAGGCAAGGTCAGCTGAAGGTCACAGAAACCAAGGCCGAGGTCCAGCTAGGATGGAGGACCACAGCTCTGGGCACAGCCCCAACTCCCCGCATCTCTGTTTCCATGGGGTCAGGAAGACGGCCATGGCCTGACCTCCACGGAGGGACCCCACCACACACCCTCTGGTCCAGCCCAGGCCGCCTGCACAGGACCCACCTCCTCCCAGCGGGGAGGCCACGGAGGGGAGCTGGCTCCGGGAGGTCCCCACTAGGGCCAGTGACCCACAGGACACCCCCCAGTGCGCAGGTCCGAGAGCCGGTGGCAGCTGTCCGATGAGACCATGCCCAGCACCTCCCTCTGCCGGGGCCTAGGGGACGCTCACGGCAGGCAGTGTCTGTCCCTCGGTCGCTCCCTCGGTCGCTTCCTGACACCCCCACATGGTGACCACAGGCACCCAAGGAGGACCCTCCTAAGGCCCGTGGCTGAAGATCCTACAAAGTTCTCCTGCAAGGCAGTCGGAGGGCAAGAGGCCGGCCCGGGAACAGAGCCCAGAGTGACCTCCGGGAACCCAGAGCACCTGGCCGCCACAGGCCCAGGAAGGACCCACACTGGCGCCGGGCCGGCCGGAAGGGTGGGGGGCGAGGGCCACCGGAGTGGCGTCTGAGGGCCCGCAGCTCAGTGCCCTTCCTTCCTCCTGAGTCAGGACCCACCTGGGGACAGGAGGGAGAGGGGCCACGGCTCCAGTCCAGGGAGAGGGGAAGCTGTGTCCTCTCAGAGCGCCCGGCCCCTGAGGAAGCCCCCACCCCACCCCTCGGTCCAGACTGCCTCTTTTAAACCTGCTCCTTCCTCAGGGTGGGAAGGCAGATAAAAGGGTAAGCGGATCCTTCACAGCAACACAAACGGGGCCTGTTCTGGGCACAGGCCTCGGATGCCGCTACTTTGAAAGGCTCGCTCCGGTGACCCGCGAAGCTGAGTGACACTGGCCGCGAGCAGGACAATTCTCCAAACGGCCAGGCGCTGGACGTGGCCAGAGGCCACGGCTGGGAGCAGAGGGCCGCCAGACCCCAGCCCCGGCACGCACTCACCTGGTCGCCTGAGTTAGGTCTCAAACTGGGTTAAGAGCTCCCTTATTTCCGGGGCCACGTGCTCCGCGGCGTTTGCAGCCTCTGTGATAGCCTTGCGGTACATCCCCTTCTTCTTACGGTTAAATCTCAGTTTGAAAAACTCAGAGAAAGGGGAGAGTTTTGAAGTAGACAAGAACGACGTAGTTGGAGAACCAAACCACGAGACTTTTGCTTCTTGCCAAGAGGGCTCCCCGTCCTCCTTCTGGCTAAGACTGAGGTCAAGCACACGCGCTGGCCACCAAGGGAAACCGTGAATCTTACCCCACACGATGTCCCCTACGGCCACCGTCCTCCCGTCCTCGGTAACACACTTGGAGACGCTCTGCGTGTGCAGCCGGACTGTGAGTGGCGGGACCGTCTGCCTCGCGTCCTTGGACGAGGGCCGCGCGGACGTGCCGTCGCCTGACGACAGGTCACACGTGTCCGGGGATGTGACTTCCGAGCTGGACGATTTGGACTCGTCCAGGCTGTCGCTGCTCCACACCGACTCGCTCGCGCGCTCTGTCCCCCTCCTGGGGCAGGTGGCGAGGAAAGCCAGGCTCTCTCGCCCGTGCGCACCCGGGGGACACGGTTTGAAGTCCTCATCCTCCTCGCCAGAGCTTCCAGAAGAAGAGTCCACCAGCCCACCGCCAGCAGAGCCGGGGCCGAGCAGAGCGGGGGCGTGGGCCCGGGGGCCTCGCCCGTGGCCATTGAGCGCCTCCACCAGCTCGGCCCTGTAGACGGGCTCCCGCTCCCCAGCCCCCCGGGGGTGGGGCTTCAAGCGGATCTTGGGGGGCGGCAGGTTGGTGCCAGGGGGCCCGGGACGCGTCAGCTTCAGCTTGGGGATCGAGGCGGAGGGCCCACCGGGGTCCTGGCTGCCCCCGTGCAGGGCCTGGGAGGGGCAGAAAGGCTCCAGGGACCCGTGCACACGGGAGGGGATCTCCACCACCTCGCCTTTGCCCTGCGGCGTGCTGTAGGAGATCTTGATGGCCGGGCTCCGGGGGACCCGGGCCTTGTCCTCCGCCTGCCTTTCCCTCTTGCTCTTCCTCGTGCTGGTGGCTGCCGCGTCCCCTCCGCCATTAGGGTCCTCGAGTTTACGGGGCTCCCTGTCGGAGCCGGGGCCACTGCCCACCCTCCGGCGGGGCCGAGGGGCAGCTGGGGGGCCGGGGCTGGCCTCGGGGGGGCTCAGAGTGCTCTTGCACTTCTCACAGAGTACTTGGCGCGGCCGCAGGCGGATGGGGCTCAGGGCGAGCCGGCCCGGGTCACGGTTACGGGACAGGCGTCGGCGGGTCCTCTTGATGGTCCGGGGTGGCGGCTGTGGTACCCACTGCCGGTAGGTGCTCCTCAGCCAGAGCGGGGGAGGGAAGGGAGCGCCTTCGAAGTACGGTGGGAACGGTGGCACAAGGGGTGGGGGCGGCTTGGGGTCTGAGGCCTCGGGTGGCTGCTCCCCGCAGGGAGGCGGCGGAGGGCCCGTCCCCAGCTGCATCGCCTCTCCGTCCTGCTCCGTGGGGGCCGGGCCGTGGCAGCCGTTGACAGGCGGGTCCTCGGGCTGGGGCAGCGGAGTCGACAGGGGCAGGCCGAAGAGGCCGGACCTGGCGGCGGGGAGACAGAAGGGGACAAGTCAGGACCGTGAGGACACTGCTGCACCCAGTCCCCACCCCCAGGGGCCCGGCGGGATCTGGGTGCTGGCATGTGCCCGGAGCATCCGCAGGTGCCTCCAGCTCTGAACAGGGGCAAACCCCTCCATGTGTCCCCCATGTGGGACATCCCAGCGGAAGGCATGTGCTCTGTGAAGCCTGGGGACCAGCATGGAGGCCACCTCTCGGGTCTGTCAGGCACCAATGTCCATATCTCAGTTCATGTGGGCTCGCAGCTGGAGGCCTTCCAAGACCTGGTGTAGGTGTGGGGGCCCTGCAAGCCTGAGAACAGGGACTGGGGAGTCTGGGGTGCTGTGACACGGCCTGACTGGGCCTGTGGGGGGGCTGCTCTGTGGCCAGTGGCCCCAGGTCACCGGCCTTGTCCACTTTCTTCCCTCCCGAGGGAAGACCCTAAGCATGCTACCCACGGGCCCAGGTGCCTGCCGTGTGCGAGGGTGTCCGGGGGTGGGGGCTGCCACGGCGGTCATGGAGAGAGGACAGGCGTCCGCCAGCAAACCAGAGCCCACTCCCTCCTAAATGCTGAGTCGGTCCCAACGGTCTTCACTGCCCGCAGGTGAAGGTGACATCCACACCACCCCTGCCCACCGCAACCTCAAAGGACCACCCCTCCTGCCTGGCACCCCCAGGCCCTTCCCTCAGGACCTCCAGCTCCAGGAGGGGAGTGGGCCAAGCAGCATCAACAAGGCCATGCGACCCATGGGAAGGGGACGAGAGAGGGCAGGAGACCCACCTCCCTCCCATGAAAACCTCCACAGCCAAGGCCAAGGGTAGGGTGGCTCCCACAGGGCTCCCCAGCTGGGACCTGCCCAGCTAGAGGCCTGCTCTCTCCCCGGGAAGTGCTGGACCACGCAGCCTCCTCTGTGCAGACCTCTGGGCACCTTGGGGGAGGGGGGGGTCTTGTGCACCTGGGGGGGGGTTGTTGATGAAAGTCAGTGGGCAGAGAGCCTTCCAGAGAGGAGGGCCATCCCCGAGGCCCTGTGCTGTGGATGTCGCTGCATCTAATTGACCAGCGACCCATGGTGCAGCAGGAAAACACCCAAACAGTGAAAAACAAGCCCAATACTCCACACCTTTCTCCAGTGGTGAGCATGCATGACTTTTCAACAAATGTGATATAATCTCGCAAGACCACTTCAGCTAAAACCTGTTATTTTTTTAAGCACAAAAGCAGACTTCCACCAAGTTGCAGGAAACAAGGCTTAGAACACGACACTTCCGTCTTAACTCCCTACTTCGAATCTGACCAGAGTAGAAATGACAGATGGACACTTCCACTGTTTCAATTTCCAAATGGTTTCCCCATTTGCTGCTCTCCAGAAGCATCCAGGCAAGCTAAGAAGGGCCGACCATCCATGACATCACCGCCCCCCACACAGCCCCCGAGTGCCAGGGCCGGGAGCTGGGCACAGACAGGACGGAGGGCATCGCCTCCCCATGGTCTTCAGGGTCACGAGGTTGATGAACTAATAAACATGGCGGCAGGTCTGCGTGCAAACACTGCCTCATTTTTGTTTAATTCAAGTTCATGGTAAAAGCCTGGAAACTGTGGTTTTCCTCCTTCCCATCAGGTTCTCATCTACCTGTGGCCATGCCCTGAATCTAAAGTCTTCGTGGGTGGGGCGGGGGTGGGGGACGAGGGGCTCACGTCTTCTCTTCATGACCACAGTCCAGCAAACACAGGTCCATGTCCACCTGGCCCAGGCAGCCTGCTCCTGCCCTTTGCGTGGCCAGAGTGCTGACCTGTAACCTGTGGCCATGAGGGAGGGAGAAGGGGGGGGAGCAGTAGGGCCAGCCGGGGAGAGGGACCACCCCGCTCCCTCCCCAGTGGGATTGTGCTCTGGTGGCTGATGAGCCCCACCATCCCCTCCCCATCCTCCTCTGGGCATGTGGCTCTTCACCTGCCCCGTGGCCTGGGACGACCAGGAGTCCCCATGGGACGGCTTGTGCTGCGACCCCTGCAGCCCCAGGCCCTGCGTCCTGGCTGACCAAGCGGCAGCAGAGTCCTCTCCCTACATAGGTGCTGACCGTGTGCGCACACAGCTTCCTGCATCTCAGCCATTGTGGGAATCCGGCACTGTAGGATTTCCACACTAGGACGGGCTCAGACTCTCGGGGACCAGGGGTGGGAAAGGGGGTTCCCGGGGTCATGCCCTCACAGACCCCACGCCCCAGCAGCCAGCACCAGTTTTCTAAGTCAGGATTTACCGGTGCAGAGCCACGCTTGCTGGTGTTCGGGCTACCCTGGCGGTCTTCCTGAGCTGCTGGGACAGACGCTGCACGGACGCCAGGCCCAAAACTGGTGCTGTGCGGCCCGCTATGGAAACTGTCAGAGTCCAGGTGTGGGAGATAAGCCCCTGCCCAAAGCTGCCCGCACCCCCACCCGCGGTCGTGACAGGCAGGTGTGTCAGCAAACGTCACCCCGAGTCCCCGGGCATCAGAGCCAGGACTGGACCCCACACCGAAGTCAGCCCCTGGTTCTTTCGCCAGGCCTTCAAAAGCAGCTAAGAACTCTGAGCACTAAACTCATGTGCTCACATGAAGGCACATGCGTGTGTGCATGCGCACACACACACACATTCACTCACCCTGAGCTCCTGGGCCAGCATGTTCACTGCCCCTTGCTGTGAGGGGTGTCAGGATTCCCTCCATGTTACCCACAGCACCCCACGAAGGGGCCTCCGATGCAGGGGGTGTTAGCAAGGAGAGAGGGGAGGCCAGGGGGTCCCCACCCCGGGCAGCAGGGGTGCCCTGCCAGAGGCTGACATCCAGAAGACCCACAGTGCAAGAGGCCCCCAAGGAGCCCCTCAAGGGACAGCCTAGGCCCTGCGGGCAGCACCTGGATGGCACACTGGCCCCTACACTGAGTGGGTACCCCAGCTAAGGCTGAGGCACAGACCACCCCAATTGCCACCCTGTGGGCGTGAGACAAGGGCCACAGGGAAGACCTCTAAGAGGACACCCTGTCGGCAGGTCTATAGACCACAGGGGTCCCACAGACGAGGAGGGGTCCACACGCCAGGCAGGATCCACATGCCTAGACCTGGAGGGCTGTTCCCAAGGCCCCCCAAAGCCTACTTCCTGCCCACTTTTGCAGGCACTCAGACCATGAACGGGGCGTTCACTCATACCCTCCCCTTCATCGGCATCCTCACCCCCCCCAGGCGTCTTTGCAGTCACCCTGCTCGTGAGACTCCCTTGCCCCCTGCCCCTAAGTCTGTGTCGGTGCAGACCCCTTCCTGCCAGGCTGGGGCCCAGGGCACCCCAAAAGCACAACCCCTGGGCAGCCCCTTTCCCATCACCCTCCACCCAAACCAACCCTTCATCCCCCCAGACCCTCCTCTGCAGGAGCCAGCCCATCCTGGGGGTTCTGCAGTCCTCTCCCCCTACAGGCAGGCTGGGGCGGGGGAGGGGGGGTGGGGGGGTGGAAAGTCCCCCTATCCCCGAAGGTCCCAAAGCCGGGGTCCAGGGAGGTTTTTGCCCCAGGTTTATGGCGCACACCCCCCTCAGGGAGTCCCTGCATGTTTGGGACAGAGATCCAGGCCCTGACCTGAGCCACAGCTCTAAGGCATGGCCCCTGGGCACAGGCCGGTCAGGCAGTGACCCCTCCCTGCCCTGGTAGGTCAAACTGGACAGTGGCCTTGGCTTCACAGAGTACTGGGAGCCTGGAGAGCAGGCGTGTCCCTGCCCTTGCGTGCAGGCGCCCTCGGCCTATGGGGGGGCTCCTGCTTTGGGCGGGGTGCCGGGGGGCTTCCAGAGCTCAGCTGCAGCCCCCCCCCCGGGGGGTGGCACCCTGCTAAGGACCCGGTGGCTGGCCCCGTGACTCTGGCGCAGCACGCAGCCGCCACACTTCCTTCCCAGGGCGGGCCCTGTCCAGGCCACGCCCTACCCGGGCCACGCCCACAACCCTGGTGGGTAAACAGCAGCTCGGGGATGGCTCCCTCCCCGGACTGCGGGCTTCAGCGCCAGAACCCTCCACACAGCCCCAGGACACACACAGCGCGGCCATCCCCTGCTTACGGATAGGGGGGGTGTGGAGGGAAGCCCGGGGACGGTCGGGGTCTGAACCCCCGTCCAGGCACACAGACAGCACCAGCCACTCCCCCTGGCAAGGATGGCAGCACCCTGCCCCAGTGGGGCAACCTCAGCTGGACTCCAGGGCACAAGGCGTGGCACCACCCTGCGTTTCGCCCACAGGGCCCAGCCCCGCAGTGAGGCCAGGCTGCGTTGACACTGGCTCGTGCCTGGGGATGGAGGCCCCGGCCAGTCTGGCAGTGCCCCGCAGGTGATACCGCAGGGCCTTGGCAGGGAGAGACAGCCTGCCAGGCCCCAGGCTAGGGGCCCAGGCACCCCCCCCACACCGTCCTGCCCTCCGTGCTGCTGAGGGTCCCCGCTGATTCCCTCCCCAAGGACAGAGAGGTGTGTGGGGAGGGGCCCTGGGGACTGGGCTGCCAGGCTGGCCAAGGTCTCCGTGCAGGAAACTGGGGGGCCCGGAAACAAAGCTCAGCACAGAGTCCTTGGGAGCTGGGGGAGGATCAAATAGCCTCAGCTCCGAGGAAAGGCTGGGGACACTGAGAGCCCAGGAGACTCTAATGGGGGTCAGACCCAAAAGCAAAGTAGTTCTTCCCCGGAAGGTCCCCACTCTGCCGAGACAAACGCAGGGCCATTTGCACGGACACAGGAGAGAGAAGCAGCCTAGCCTGCAGTCCTTGGCAGGAGACCCGGGCCGGCCTCAGCTCCCCCGCCCCCCTGAGGTCTCACCCATGCAACCAGCTCAGCAAACCCCCAGAGCAGCCAGGCCTGAGCTGGCCCGCGGCCAGGAGGAGCCGGCCCAGCCGCCTGCCAGAGCTCCCGGCCGCCCCCGCGGCCTCCCCGCTCTGCAGACTCGGGACCCAAGTGGCTATGGAACCCGAGAGCAGCCTCTGACCCCAGCTTGGTCCACGTTTGCTCTGGACCTCCCTTCCTCATCCTCCCACGGGGAGAGGCAACCCTGGTGTCCAGTAAAGAGGTGAAGAAACATGGCTTCCGGACCAGAAACAGCCCAGGGGTCCATCTCAGTTGCCTGCAGGGAGCACCATATAGCCAGGAGCCTGCGGCCCCAGGGCAGACCTGAGTCCAGACGGCAAGGTCCGCTCTGTGGCCGGGCTCCCTGCGTCCTACATGTTGGTTTAGAAAATATACCGCAGTCCCCCCACCCCAACCCCTGCCCCGGCCAGCAGCACCGAAGGACGGGCAGGAGCAGGTTCACGTGGGAAAGGGAGGCCGGGGAGAGCAGCCTCGCCAGGCCTCCAGGCCCACCTCTGCTCAGGGAGTTGGGGAAAACAAGTTGGCCGGGGAAGTCACAGCCTGGACACCAGCATGGTCCCTTGTCTAGGGCCACACATGGGAGGACGCCCCTCCCCCATGGTAGACCCAGGGTCTCTGGGGCAAGCCACGGGGCCAGGCTAGCACATCTGGCCCCCCGAGTCCTGGACTCAAAGGTTTAACCACCACAGCAGCTGACTACATCCCTCTCTACACCATCTGGTGGCTACCCCAGTCCACACCCCCTCTTCACCTCCCCACTGGCCAGGTCCCCTGTGAGGCAGCAGTCTGCCTGCTGGGGGTCCCGCCACCCTATGCTACACTGGGCACCCTGCTCTCAGTCCCTCTGGGTCCCTGAGGACAGGGAGGAAATGCCCAGTAGAACCTGGAACAGGGGTCCATCCTTATTTGTCCAGCGGGACCGGTCACCAGTGGGAGTGCACCCCGGATGGAACGAGGGTGCTCTCCTGCCCAGGGACAGGCCTGCTGGGATTCCTGACTGGCTGGCTATAGAAGCTGGAGTCCCAACCTCGCAGGGTGGGGTGTGGGTCACAAAGGCCCAGAAGTCGTGTATGGTAATCGCACCCTGGATGACTCACAACTGGGGAAGTTTGAAAAACACCAGCTCAGAGATGAAGGCCGGGGGCCTCGGGGTTTGTCAGACCTGATGGGCAGCTGGTCCTCACTCCTGCTGTCCATGAGATCTTCCTTCACCACTCCGGGCTTCTGCTGTCCTTGGGCCATGCCTCAGACAGGGCCACCCCACTTGGGGGTCCTCAACCAGAGGTGTACCCCCAAACCACCCACAAAACAATGCCCACACCCACCCTGCACCCCAGTCTGAGCCTGTGGGGTCAAGGCAGGCCTGGGCCATCGGTATCCTTACTACACCAGAAGGAATCACGGCCTTGTAGGGAGACTGGAAGGATCGTGCAGAGCAGGGAGCCTGGCACTCAGCCCAGGTACACAGTGGGGAAGTCGATGAATGCAGGGGGATGCATGAGGGTGGGCACCAAACAGCTGAGGGTATTCCCTCAGATCACAAAGCAGCTTGGCAGCAGGTTCAAGACTCGGGGCGGGGGAGGAGCCTGGCACCCTGGCCTGGCAGCGCCACACACTTGCTGAGACCTTGGAGGCCTCAGGGAGCTCTTCTCCTCTGCAAACATTTGGGGAAGGGAACCCATCTCCCAGGGTGCCAAAGGAGGGGATACCGCCTCCCAAAGACCCAGTGAGTCACCCTGCTTGCTGGGCCCTGCTCCAGGAGAGAGAACGGGACCGGCGCGAAGGGCCCCTCCCCTGGGACGGCTCTGTCCCTGCAGGAGACGTGGGTAATGATTTACCCCCACATGGGGCTTCCCGTCCTCCAGGTCTGCGCACCAGCTCTGGAAGCCGCTGCTAAATGACAGTTCCCGGCACGTGCCTGGCGGCACACCATGGGCACACCAACAGCTGCAGCCGGGCTGCCCTAAACACAGTCTGCACAACCCCACTGTGCTGGGACCCGTAAGCTCCCAACCGGGGCTCCCAGCTGCTGGGCCCAGCTGGGCAGGGCCCACACCCAGGATGGGGACCCCACCGAGGGACCAGCCCCGCCACTGTCACAGATGAAGGGGGGCAGGCATGGAGGAGAAACTGGCCTTGGGAAGGCTATGGACCCTGCAGCTCAAGGCCAGACACCCACTGCCCAGAACACCCAGGCCAGGTTATAAGCTGCCAGTGGACCCCACCTGATGAACGGGCTGTAAACAGGAGCGCTGAACTCTTAACACTGTGGGCCCAGAACAGAAGACAGGGTGAAGGCAGAGGGGTAGGCAAAGCGGGGGTGAGGGCAGGCCAGGGTAGGTTCGGGACCGAGCCGTGGCGGGTTGGAGGTGCTGGGAGTGCAGCAGGAGCCCGTGCGGAGCAGAGCTGCACCCACCGAGGCCCGGGTTCTGTGGGTGGCTCCGGTTACAGCTCAACGTGGCCCTGGCAGGGCTAACGCCCACGAGTCTACGGCTGCAGTTCCCATGCTGGGGAGCCCAGCCCGGCCGGCTCCCTTCCATGAGGGGAGTGCTGATCTCCAAGCCAGGTTAGCCCCAGCCTGGGCGGGGGGCAGGGGGTGGAGGCAGACAGAAAGGGAGGCCAGGCTGCCTCCTCCACAGACATTCCCCCCACAAGTCAGAGGGGCCCACAGCCTTCCCTGTCCTGAGTTGGGAGCCCAGAAAACGGAGGAGGGATCCTATGCTGCAATGCCCCTCACCAAGGAGGAAAGGCCCGGCCAGGCACAGCTCTCCGCAGACCCAGGAGCAGGATCAGGCCCCAGGGGCCCTCCCGCCAGAGGGAGGAAGTAGTGGCCTTCAGTGGCAGGATACCTTGGCCACCGCAGGGCACAGGCTTGGCAGCTTCCAGGTGGCTTTGCTGCAGCACCCCCCCCCAACCCCAGCCCCACCCCTTGGTCCCGCCAAGCACCCTCCGTGGTCTCCAGGGCGGAGTGGGGCGACAGTCACCCGGGAGGCCATATGTTAAATCACATGACTTGTGCATAAATGGTTTCTGGCCCATCTAATGGAGAGAGAATAGCAGCAGGTTAACTGTTGAAGGGTAATGGTCTTCCTGCCACGTCCAGGCGACTGCCACAAAATCTGGGCCCCACGGAGGGAAAAAGTTGGGCCTCTGCAAGGGGAGCCATTTATTGCTTGCAGCCTCCAGATAAGGCCCAGCAGGAGCACTAAGACATCAGTGCCTGATTAATGCCTAATCATTTATCTGTGAGACAGCTCACGACCATGTGACACTGTATCCAGGAGACTCTTCCTGCGGCTGGGTCCCTGCAGCGGGCGCACAGGTGCGTCTCAGGGTGATGTGCCCCCAGGCCTGCCCAGGGACCCCCTTCCACCGGAGAAAGCAGGGCACCCGCCACCACCCCCCTGCCCAGCACCTCCACCTGTATGTTTTCACTCCTACACTGCCAGGGTCTCCCCCACCCACCACCACCAAACACTGCTTTTGAATCCCATGGCTGGACACAACTGCTTGCCAGCAACCCAGAGCCCCGAGTGGCTCCTAGGAGCCTGGGGGGCCCCAGGACATTAGGCAGGGCACCCCCACTCGTGAGTGACTGGCAGGGCAAGTCCAGCGCTCATCTGAACCCACTCCCCCGCCATCCCCCAACCGATGACAATTCTGAAAACAGCCGAATTCAACAGTGCGTCTGAACAAAGAAAAGTGCGTTAATTATGGCAGACGTGCGGAGTTCGGGGAGCCGGCGGCACGCGGCGGCGGCGCGGGGACACGGGCTGTGCGCCCAGCGCCCGGCTCCCCTCGGCGCCCACCGCCGCTCCCGCCCGGCAAGTCGCAACGACTTTGAGAGCCACTTTGGCCCCCCGAGTGGCGGCCGCACTCGCGCGCCCCGGAGCCCGGACTCAGGAAACCGAAAGCGGGCGCCGGCGCCGCGCCGCCCCCGCCCTGGAGCCGGTCCGCGCCCTGGGCCCGCCGGCGCGATGGGGGTGGGGGCGTCCCGGGAGATTCGGGGCGCCCCGGGGCCCGCGCCCCCACCCCCGCTCACTTTTTCGTGCAGTCCAGCAGGATCCCGGCGAAGCTGCGCTCGCCGCAGCTCACGGTGACCAGCAGCGCGCCGTTGACGACCTGCTCCACCCGCACCGGCAGCCGGCAGCCGGCCCGCGGCTCCATGCTCCCGCGCCGCGTCCCGGCCCGCGCGCCCCCGCCCCCGCCCCGCCGCCGCCGCCGGGTCAGCCCGCGCGTGACGCCGCCCGCCGGCCGCCTGACGTCACAAAGCTCCGCTCGGGGCGGCCACCGCGAGCGGGCCGGGGCGGCGGGAGGGGCGCGCGGGGCACCTCCGCCCGCGAACGCGGGCCAGAGCAGGGTGCCTCGGAGCCGGCGCGGAAGCGCATTGCGGACCCCCGGGACGGGGCAGGGCTGCGCCCTCCCCTGGGCCCGGCGGCTGCGAGCGCCCGCCGAAAGGACCTGCGGGCCTGAGCTCAGGACCCCTGCTCCAGGGCCAACCCCCCACCCCCACCCTCACTCCCAGCCCTGCCCGGCCCCCTCCTCCCCGCGCCCCCGCGCCCCCCGCCTTCGGTCAGGCGCCCGGTGGCCACCCGGCACTGTAGGGAGGAAGTCCCGGCGACGCGAGCAGGAAGCCGGTCGGGCCGGGCCGCGGAGACGCGGGCGCCTAGGGGACACCGGCGGGCGCCCCGCGGCGGCCCACTCTAACCCTCGCCGCGGAGGGGGCACTTGGCGACCCTCTTGTGCTCGGTGCATCACCGGGTGACCAGAAGGCGCACGCCTGGCTCGGGGCTGCCTGTGCGCCTGGGGTGGCCCGCGACGGCGTTGGGGAGGGGGATCCGTCTGCAGGTCTCGGTCGCGCGCCCCCGGGTCGCTGGGGAAACTGCGGGTTGCGTGCGACCCCGCCGCGCCCAGAGGGGCAGGGGCCCCACGGGGCGTTCACAGCGGAAAGGACTGCCTTTCCCGAGCGAGAGCGGGGCTCCCCCATGCGCGCAGCTGTCCGGCTGGGGGGAATGGGAGGTGCAGGCAGCGAGCAGACGTGGGCACCACCTGGGACCCCTCCCCGGGCCCTGTGCTCCCGCGCGCCTCCAGCCCAGCAAGACTCTCGACTATCCCGAGCCTTTGCGCATCCCGCACCTGGCTCGGGACCCCGTAACCGGCAGAGCCCCCAGGGCCGGCCTGTTGCGGTGACCTTGCCCCGGGCCCAGCACCGCCCGGCCCAGCCCGGCCGAGCTAGGCCGGCTGGTCCGCTGAGCCGGGCTTGCTGCGCCTGGCTGGGCACAGGAGATTGGCGGGTCATTGGGTTGTCCTGACGACTCGGACGCCGCCAGGCCCCGCCCCTCCATCGCCCCCCTCCGGCCTGGAGCCCAGCCTGCGCACGGCCCCGCCCAGCTCGGACCTGCGCTGTGGCCGCCAACCCTGGCGCCGCCTGGGACTGTCGGGGCCCGCAGTGGCGCCGCTCCTACTCGCCCTCCGGCGGCGGCCACGGCGTGGGGAGCAGGCAGAGGGGAGCCCGGGCGGAGTCAGGGGGCCCGCCAGGAGCAGGCAGTGCCTCCGAGCCCCCAGTTTGACAGGGCTGAGGATCAAGGCCCAGGGAGCCCTAGAGGAGGCCTGGGAGCCCAGGAAGCACCTGTTCTGTGTGTGGCTGGGGGTTCCAGCAGACACCAGCTGTCCTTTGGGAAGTGAGGGACTCCACTGGCAGGCCTCAGGCACCTCAACATGGCCACCCATTCTGGGTCAACAGGCTCCCTCCCTGTCACTGTGGGGTCCCCACAGGGAGCCTCTGCACCCACAGGACTTTGCAGCCTCCCCACTCCAGAGCTAGGTAGGGCTGGCTTGGGGGCAGAAATGCCAGGCCATCCTTGGTGGCAGGTGCCAAGCATGCCCCATATGCCTTCTGGGCACTGGGGACACCACCGTGAACCAGGTTCCTGGGGTTTGAGTCGGCTCCAGGACTGCTGGGGACATCCAGGTGTGAGCATGTTCCTGTGTGCCCAGGGAGCTCTGTGCGGACAGGAGGCCTCTGGAAAAGGTGCCCTGGAGGGGATGCTTGAGTGAGCAGGCAGTCCCCCGGGGAGAAGGGCCTCACGGGGCAGCTTGGGCAGAGGTGCTGGGTGCTGGGGTGCATACAGAAGGGGACCTTCTGAAGAGCATGCCGTATGGTGGGGAGGTGGGGGCTTCTGAGGTCAGTCCCAGGCATTCGCAGGATCAGCAGTCTGGGGAGAAGCCGGGCGGGGCAGGGAGTGTTTCCTGGGGCAGGGAGGGCCCACAGAGGCCGTGGAGGGTGTGCAGACCCACGCTGCACAGCTGAGTTGGGGAGAACAGGGGAGAAACCCCCCGCCCCCATCTTCTCTCAGCCTCTGCCCCTGCTGGGCTATGTGCTGGGCACTAAGTGGAGTTGGAAGCCATTTTCAGAAACCCACTCTGCGCAAGGCAGAACAAAGGGATGTGCAGACAGGACTTTGATCTGGAATTTAAAGGGTGACTGTTTGGGGGTCCTGCTCCCCGCAGACCAGCCAACTCACCTGCTACCCACCACAGAGCCTCTGATGAAAATGCAGATATCCTTAGGAAGGTGGAATTAGCCCAGGGGGCCTGTGTGCTGACCCCATGTGCCAACTCCTTCCTGACCCAGTGCTCTCTCCTCTAAGTGTCCCCTTCAAAGGCCAACGCTACACATGCAGGTTCTAGACAGAACGGCCCCAGGCAGCGGGGGCTGAGAGCGGCTGCCCACTGCGAGCTGCCCACAGGCTGCCTAGCGGGGCCGTGGAAGGGCTACGGAGTGACCCCCAGCTAAAGGAAAACAGGGCTGGAGCTTCCTCCCTAGGTCTCTGGACTTGGTCCCTAAAGCCTTTGCTTTCTGCTGCAGGCACTGGGGCCTCCGCCAGGTCTACCCAGTGCCCAGCCCTTGGCCTGGCTTGCCCAGGGCACCAGCAGAGTCACCAATGGCTGGCAAGCCTGGACAGAGGGGCAGGGTGGTGGCATGAAGGGGGACAGGAGATTGTCTAGCACCCTCACTGGGCTGAGCTGAGCGACCATGAGCTGGTGGGAGGGGTGCTCCAGGCAGGGGGCTAACCTCTGTGTCCCCTTCTCCTGGGGTGCTGATCTTCAGGGGTCCTCCGGGATCTGCCCCTGCTCCCTGTTGGCATCATGCACACCACCAGCCCCAACCCTCCTCCTGCAGGCCCCAGGCCGGTGTCCCCCCTCCTAGCCCCTTCCCCCACAGGACAGCCTGCTGAGCGTTCCCCAGCACAGTCCCTCAGTCTCGCCAGCTATAGGGCTTGCTCACACCTTTGTCATTCTGTCTTTTCTCAGTGCCACTCAGGGTTTGCTTGTCCAGGCAGCAGGTGACCCCTGCCCTGCCCCCCCCCAACACACACTGGGCCTGCTCCCACTCCCTCTCGCTGGAACTCAGCCAGGTGCCTCTGAGATGGAACCACAGCTGCCTGGTCAAGGGGTCCTCCCAGGCCGGAGCCACAGGTCAGAGCCCAAGGATTTCTCCAGAGCCGGGGGTGGGGGGGCTCTCTCCAGAGCACACAGGTGTGAGAGGGGCGTGGGCCCCCTGATGGCACGTCTCAGGCCAGGGAGTTGCTGGGAGGGAGGGGACGAGATGAGCCCAGAGAACTAGGGCCTGGCGGGGGCAGGGGAATCGCATGTCGTTAAGCACCCACAGGCTCACACCCATCCTAGGTCCGGGGTAGAGTGGGGTGCACGCGCTGACCTGGCCTCCCTCCCGGGCATCTGCCAGGAACCCCAAGCCTCCCTGGGGCCGGCACTGGCATACAGCCCATGTGGTGTCCCAGGAGGCAGGAGCTCCAGAGAGTTTGCTTTGCAAATGCTGAGCCCAGGGGCCCTGGAACTTCCCCTGCAGTTTCACAGATCATGTTGGAAGCATGGGGTTTGGTTCTGTCCCCACCTGGAAGGCCTGGGTCTGCAAGACTGGTTTTGTTCCGTCTGACCACCCTGCAGGCTTGGACGGAGCCCTGCCTCATGGGTTATGAGGATGATTGTCCCATCTCATGAGGAAGCTGGTCACCCGCCTGGCTGGGAGCAGAACCGGCCGGGACTCCGCTGGAGGGGCTAGAGAGCAGTAAAAAGGGTGGACTGGGGCCAGGTTGCGGGAATCCTGCCCTGTGACCTTGGGGAGGCCGCCTACCTCCCCCCTGCCTCAGCGTCCTCATCTGTAAAGTGGGAATAACCGTAGCACCACCACATGGCCTCAAGGTGGAGAGTACAAAGTCTAATACTTGGAGTACTTAGCATAGCACTGGCCTCCAGTAAGGCCTCTGGAAGACTTAGTTGTCACCAACACCATCACCACGGTCCCCTCCGTCACCACCATCACCTCAGCTGCCGGAACCCAGACGCAGATGTTGAAACACATGTGGGAACGTTCTGGAGGCGCGGCATGAAGAGAGTGAGCTGAGTTCTGCGGGTGTCTCCTGGGGGTGTCCTGACGGCTGGGTCACCCCCCTTGCCGAGTCTTCTCAGCAATGACCAGCGCATGACCAGCAATGAGAGGCCCATAGAAATTCAACTTGCCTGAGGCCCCAGGCAGCCTCCTGGGTTTTCATTCTCCTGACACCTCATTAACCTCATTAGACATCTTCTGTGTTGTGGTTCTTGTCAAACCTCACACCAGAAAGCGGGGCTTCTGTTTGCTAAAACATCATGATATTTCACAGCTGAACTAGTTGTAAGTTACGCAACCTGGGGGTGATTTGGAGAAAAACCTCTCAGAGCTCACAGGGGATGTTCTCACAGCCCACCTCGCCGAGGGCTCTGTCATGCCTCCCGCTCTCAGCCCCCAGGCCTCCTGAGCACCCCCCCCAGGACATGCGCCCCCCTCGCCCACTTCTAGAGGGTCAGGTGAGCAGGCGTATCACAGGGAGAGGCCTGTGTTGGTCCTTCGGAGCCAAATCCAGGGAACAGCATTCCCAGGCACACACCAAACCTTGCTGTGGTGACCGCAGAAAGCCTCAGGCAAGCCCAGGTGGTTCTCTCCCACCTGCCCACTCCCATGCCTGTGGGTGCACATGGTCCTCCACCTGCCCCATATAGCAACACAGGGATGGGGCCCCACTGGAAAAATGGGGATGGGGCCCCACTGCGAGGATAGGATGGGGGCCCCACTGGGAGGATAGGATGGGGGCCCCACTGGCAGGATA